ACTAGCAGTGAATGTGATTCAAATATATTAGTGTGCATGCAAAGTAATGAACTGAGTGTTATGAATTTAAGATTGAATCATGGAAATACATCGTTAATGTCTTTTTAAAGTTTGATAAGTACAATATCAGTGAAAATAAATGATATGGTACCGAAAAACAGAAATAAGAACCAAAAAAGAAATAACATTATTAAAAAAAAAATTGTTTCTTTTTAATAGTACAATAAAATTATTAAATTTGAAAATATTAATAGTACCTAATCTAGCTTATAAGTGATAGTTTACTGTGCGTATTTATTACTGACAAACACTTACATAACTAAATATTTATAGGGAAATAATATCTATGACTGAATACTACTTTGCCAAAAACGCTTCTGTGATGTGTAAAACAAATTATCGAAACTGTCATCATCGTCAACCTATTTACGTCTATTTACTGGCCCAATGCAGATTGGAGGGTGTTAACGACTGCAAAAGCAGGCTTAACGTGCCTTCCGAGGACGGAGTAGCTCGAGATAATAATTTTTTGGTCACCCATTCCGTGACTGAACTTTGCAAAAATTGAAACTGTGAGAACGACGAATCCTTAAAAAACTTTCCCATGAAAATGTCACAAGACACGATTCTTTACGTATTCAGCGATAAAATAAAAGTGAACACACATGATAATATCCCGGACCTGGGGACCTATTCTGAAAATCAAATAAGACCCATTAGGTTGTGAAGTATGAATTTCAATTATTTATCACTGGCGGTATTGTAATGTTTACTTATTAATTAACTCCAAATTAATATGATTTATTCAGTCTAGGCCATTTCAAGCACTTGTTAATGTCTCACCTCACCAAAAGAAGTAGCTCTTGGTGACTTTGTTCATTTTATTTCATAAACTACAGTATACTTTAACCATGGCAATGAACACGAACCACCCACGCAAGGTCCCGAAACAGTTTTTATTGGACGGAGTAATGAGTGAGAAAGTCACTTTACTATATTTCTTGAAAATGTTACCTTTCTTCAGCCAATAAATATGATGAATTTTAAGATATTCTGATTGAAATATGTTTAAGAAATCGACTTTGTTTGCTTTGTTTTGTAAAAAATATTCTTAAAGTAAAATCCAATTAAAAATCAAAACCACTTTTAGTAAGAATATTATAGCATAATGAATGCAAAATTGATCAAATATAATGAATTTTAAGATGTAACAAAATCATGCTGATAATTATTCACATGTAACGATTGTATCCTTGCGAAACCAGACCGTGTTGCTAGACAATTAAGAGAGAGGGAGTGCTTTACCATTTCTGTTCATTCTACACTGATCCAGCGAGATGCATGTATTTATATAATTATTCAACCCCAACAAAGTTAGATCAGGTTTTAGTTTAAAGTATTGAGATAGTTATAGTAAATCGCTTTTGGATAGCAAAAAAATGTCCAATTATCGTGGAATCGGAGTAGGACCCCAGATTTTGAAACTTTGCCAGTAAACGCTACATTGAGTCGCAACAAAATTTCGCTGTTTACCTACAACTGTATTATTAAACATTCAAAAGTAGGCGATTATTTCGCAATATTCTGTCAGAGATATTCTACTGTGAGTTATTTGTTGTTTTTAATATTAGACAAATGTAGTGGCAAAATCAATGGATCAACTATTTTAAGAACTATAAATACTCATTTTTATTATAACTGGCAACTTTATTTAGAGAAACTGCCAAATATATTTTAATGTGGTTAATACGACGGGTCGCCAAAGGATGAAGTAAGACACATTATCGTTATTCGTTATGATGCGTGTTGAAAAGGATATTTGTTAAGAATGTCGGAAGACTCAGATCTGCGGTGTGATTTTCACTAGTCGTTAAAAGTTGCAAGATGGAGAGGAAGGAAGACGTAATGCATACAATAAGATCATTGTTGTATGCGGTTAATATAGTTGATAATTATACATTTATAATAAGCACGTGAAATTTTACTGATAATAATAATAAATGTATTTCGCTCGCGTAGTCCTGTATATTGCATATAAAACTCTATACTGATGAAGACCGCATTAAAATCCGTTGTGTAATTTAAAAGATGGATCATATCGTTTTATAAATAAATGAAACGAAATAATATTAGCACGAGTTGCTGGCTGATTTGGCACGAACCGAATAACTTTCCATCTTCGTTAAAAGTCCATTGTGCATTGTGTTTACATGCAGATGTTTGCAGTCATTAGTGAATTTGATCCCAAGACTTTATGATCAGTATTCAGGACAGTCTCAAGTAGGTACCTAAGTAAATAACCATTGATTTAATGTTGGGCACAATGACCACGAAATCTACAGTCTAGATAGGTTGATGGGGGCAGAAGTAGCATATTGAGTGTCAAAAACTATTTTAAATAATTACTCGCAAATCTTTTAAGAGAAAAAATCTAAAAAAGGTGAAGTGTATGGATAATATTGCGATCTTTTGATGAAGTAAAATTCATAAATTATAATTTTAAACTGTGGCAAAAACATAAGAAATATAAGGTTGCTTTCTTCTTTTTTTAATAACAGTTTATTTGGACGTTATTAATTTGAACAACACCAGTTGAACATTAGAATATTTTGGTTAATGTGCCGTCTTAAAGAAGCAAAAGCAATAACATAATTTTCAATATGTATATAAGATATTTCATTTAAATTCATAGTATATATTTAAAACAAACAATAAATAGCTAGTTAAGTCATTCTTTTTTTAAATAATCACAATCGATTTTGAACTTAAATTACGACTTTTAAAGTATTAAAATCAATTGTATAAATTTAAGATAAATTTCATTTGAAAATTTACTGTTGGATGTGTTGGTTTTTAATTAGTACTGAGATAGATTTTTTTTTTGGCAAACTCTCTTAATTGGACAACACAGCAAAAAAAAAATTGAAAACAATAAACTCAAAAAAAATCTTATTGCTTAGTGATTTTGACTTTTATGTACCTTATTAGAGGTACATATTTGTTCATTCCCACCACTGTATAAAACTCAGAATGATAATACCCATTATATTCAATATTTATGTGCTCTTTTTTCTAAGACCCCTAAGAGGTGGGGTCCCAAAATTCGAAAAAAAATATTTGTGTAGGAATCTCATTTGGGAACCTCTGTCATAGATAATTAAAATTACTCCTATCCTGTACAAATGTCTGATAAGATAAAGAAAGGGACAAACCTAATCACTTTGTGTATTAGTTACATAACAAACTTTAAGAATGTGTCATTCTAAAAAGTCCTTAATGACCAGATAATAAATAGAGAAGTAGGATTAATTATTAAGAATCATTGTTCTTATTCTGCAACTGAGTTTGCAATTGAAAATAAATTGACATAATTCTGACACTCACACAAATAATTTGAAACAACATTATCACCCGAGTTCTGAATAGAGTATTTCAAGCACGTCCCAAACTATAGGTACTTAAACAGGTTTTCATTATTTGATTTTAGTTTTTTAATGATCAACTGATAACAGTTTGATAAAAACTGGGACTTTATGCCTTGTGAAAAGTAAAAAAACTTAAGTAATTGAGAATAATCAGTTGAGATTTTGTACCTTTCTCAACTCAGAAACCAGCTGTTAAACATGGAATGGATATTGTTAATGTTAGTTATTATTAATTTAATCTTCGTTATTTCTTCTTCTTTTCTTTTAATGACTACATTGTATCTACCACAATTCTGCAAAATTCACATTGGTGAAAATCACAGAATATATATTAATTCAACCAATTTAAAATTAACTATTTCTTTCTTAGAGGATAATAAAGAACTCAGATTGATAAGATTAAAACTTTCAGTATAGTTTATGCAAAACAATTGCCAAAGAAAACGAGAAAACAGGATGAAATCTGAAGTCCTGTCAATGAGGACAATAGAGAGATCATTATAATTTGTTGAATATGTATAAAACATAATTTCAAAAAATATTTTATATATTGAATTACTAGTCAATCTCATTATGTTTACATAGGCCTAATTGTAGTCTCAGAAATATAATGTCTCTGGACTATGTGTTCAATAAATGAAAATAAGTGATATTATCACACAATTAAGTAACACTTATGTCATAGTTAAACATAATCCAAGTCACATGACATCCTAATGAACTACGTACCTAAACCATCCTTGTAATATCAGATATTCTCATATAAATAATTATGAAAACTGAATGAAAATTGTTTTTCATTGATGCCACGGGGAACAGTCTCTAATATAAGTATTAATTAAAGCATTTACTAAAACAACCTATAAAGGAATTAAAAATTAATCAACTCAATATCTAAGACCAGCTAAAATAAAATCAAATAATGAATCCATAATGCTGATGGCATGATTATATGATTAATTTAATCTGAATCATTCTACAAGTTTTTATTAACTGAGTACTTTAAAATAATTAAAGAAACTTACTTCAGTTAATCTGAAGTAGGAAAAATATTCCAACTTCAACAATCACTCCACAAATAGAAAGCTAAGACACTAACTCATTGTCTCAAACTAATTAGAGGTTGAACTTGAAAAAGACAAAAATAGAAAGAGTATTTAAAAAATTATCTCTTTTTTCACACACAGGTATTTAGGCTAAGGTAAACACTTCAATTTCAAGTAGGTAACCCTCACCTACTGGCACATTTACTATCGACTATTTTCTTTGCCAATCATCTTGGACATAAAACTATTTTAAGAAACCGAATTCGCGCGTTCATTTTAACTTTACATAAACTTCTCAATTCGCGCCAATTTATAATATTAAATGAGGTTCCATGACCCAGCCTACGCAATGAGATCGGAATGCAACAGATGATGGCATAAACCTTTTTATTTTCACTTTTTTTCTTTTTAAAAATAAGCTCTGCGCCTGGTGTTTCCGGGAAAAAAGTGTGTTAGTTACCACAGTTCATTAATTGGTTAGTATTAAACTTACTATGTGCAAAAACGTTATGTTTATGTTAAAACTTACTTTCTTTATATTCACTACTTAAAAATAAACGTCCTGTAAAACCACACACACGTTCACCTCCTACACTTATTCACTGAGAAATGTCAAATTATTTAGAATCAGTGTTGCACACTTGCAGGATATATTTTACCCTAATATTAATTATAGAAAAGTCTTATTTTATTACGAATAGTCATATCTGAAAATTTATACAAAGTTTTATAGTTTTAAATAAATCTATACTTAAACATTGTAAAGTGTATTTGATTTAAAATATATTAGAGGTTTGCTTACGCTATAATTTCGTGGTGTTGCAAGTTAAAAAAATAAACTTCCCCGAAAATTACAATTCGCTGCGGAATTCTATACCAGCTGAGAGGTTCACGTTACCTACCTTTTCTAATTATTATTAGCGTTGACTAAAAATAGGTCAAATATTTAAAAATGCCCGTTGGCACGCATTGCGGTCCGTAGTGGTCGTAATCACATTCGCAGTGTGTTGAAAGGGGAATCAATAGATGGTTTTTGTTAAAGCGTTTTATTGTAAAGAAGTGGTCGAGCATTTATTTTTTTTCTTTCCTTCCACTAAGGCCAAAGATAGTTCCTACCGGCTATGGTATTTTTAAATTGAATAGGTAATATAATTTTTAAACCCCTTTCTTATTAAAATACTCTTGTTAGCTATTATAATTTTTTTTATGTTTTATTGTCACCGAAAAGCGTTTCATATAGCAGCTATTTTTAGATAATTTTTTTTTTTACTTTATCATAATAGTCAGAATTCAGAATACATAAAAGATAAAATTAAAGAATTTACATTTGTGTTAACAATGTTTGAATAAAAGGTCTAATAAATTAAAACTACTCATCTAAACTATGTCTTAAAATAATAACTATACTAAATAAAAAATGTCTCCCAGATCATTGCCTACAGGTAAGGTACCCAGAAGGCTGCAAGCGTTTCCTAAAATAACTTAATATAAAATAACCATAAATTATTCTTAGTTTATAGAACAATCGATAGTGTATTCTTTAAATAAAAATATCTTAGTGTGTAATATAAATATGTTAGCATTTGTTTTACATTACCATGTACTTATATTATAAACAGGAAAATATATTATTAATATCCGAATATAATAGCAATGTATCCTCACTCAGTAACACTCGTATCTATAGTCGAGAGATGTAATTACTTGAAAAAATGTTATAAACATTTTAGAACTGTTAATAGCTAATAACAATAAAATACTTGTCTCTCAAGCTTTACTAAACAGCAATAATCTCCTTAACCCATTTCAATTTGGCTTACTTCACTAATACTGCACTGGTAAAGGTAACAGAGATGCCATCCGGCAGGGCATGGAAAATCACCAACTCACACTGTTGACCTTGTTGGATTTCAGCAATGCTTACAACTCAGTTGATTTTGACATCCTTCTTGGTGTCTTGCACACTCTTAACATATCTCGAGCGGCAATTGCATGGTTTTAAAGTTACCTAGTAGGCCGTCGGAAGCGTATTCGTGGCGACAGTAATTTCTCCTCGTGGTGCTCTAACAATGCCGGTGTTCCTCAGGGTGGCGTCTCAATCTCCTATTCTTATTTATCTATCTTTATAAATTCTATCGCTCGCTCAATTTCTAGTTCCTATCACCACTATGCATATGATCTTCAAATCTACACCCAGGCACCAGTCTCGAACATTTCCGATATGGTTGCAATTACTAACAGTGATCTTTTTCATATATGTACCTGGAGCAATCTTTTGGCCTTACTGTTAACCCTTTGGAGACAGAAATTATAATTATACGTAGTCCTCACTTCATTTCGAGGATTGATCTTGAACAAGTGACTCCCGTTTCTTTCGACGGCTATATTATTCTATACCCAAGTACTGTCAAAGACTTTGATATAATCTTTAATCAACGTTTTTCATTGAAACCTCAAATTGATTTATTGAAGAAAAAAAAATTTGTCGCATACAATTCGCTCAACCGTTTGCATACCATTCTATTAGTTAGTACCAAAATCACACTTGCACAAACACTATGATGATGTATACTATACAGATTTAACTGAGGAACTTCTTGATAGGCTGGAGCGTCTGCAGCATTTGTGTATACGTTTCATTTGGAACCTTTGCAAATATGACCGCGTATCATATTACCGTTCTTAAACTTAATTGGCTCCCTATACGACGGCGCAGGGACCTACACACTCTTTCTCTTCTCTATTCAATTTTTTTCCTGCCTACTTCTCCACCTTACCTAAATAGCTATTTTCTTTTCGCAGCTCCTCAATTCGATTCCAATACATATTGCGCTATTCTTCTAACCTTACCCTTGACAACCCTCCTTACACCACTGACTTCCTATCCTATTCCTTTTCGGCACAGGCGGTTCGGCTTTGAATTTCACTACAGAAAGGCTCGCATTCTGAGATTATTTATATTATTTATAATTTATTTATTTTTCTCTCGTTATTATAACACATTATTTCGTTATTGCAACCCCTCCTCTCTTTACTTCTTATTTAATTATTTTCCCTAACTACCATTGGTTGCCTGAAAAAATTTGCTGCTAAGATATAAGGCCGCCATTTATGTACTGTTTTCAATAGATTTATTTTTGTAATGTGTCCTGTTTAAGTAGTTCAATAAAGATTATTGTTATTCTATTGCTAATTTTCTCTTTCTCTCTAACACACATTAAAATTTATTTGGTAAAATTAACTGCTTATGTTATGTTACGTATCCCCAAGTAATTACTTCTCTCTACTATAGATACAAGTTTAAGATCAAATTGAATTTTAAGATAATTAAGTACATTTTAAATTATTTAGTAATAAACGCAAAAACTAGTTAATGGTAAAAGATGTACTCAAAATTTAGGTTTATATATTGGTTTTGGTCGGTGAGGCCTATCCCGGATGGGCCGGGAGACCGACCGGTGGAGGCGTGACTGCGGACACGGCATGGGGGCCAGGGTCTCTCACTCCGCCCGGCGTTGCTAGATTGCGTTATGCTCACATAACGCTGTCTTATGGGCGCCGGGGGGCAACAGAGCCCCGTTGGCAGCGGGAACGAGAGTGCTGCGAGGGAGGCCTGAGGGCACAGCCTTGGGGAAAGCCAACAAGAAACCCAGGCTGGAGGCTCAAGCGGTACTCTCGAAATGGAAAGGGCAAGGGGATCGCGTATTAAGGCATCCCTCCCTTTTGCGGATTAGCGGACGAGGACTGACACCCCACCCTCACCCCCCTGGGATTAGCCCACGGGGACGATCCATCGTCTGTGAAAAGGCTGTTATTAACCTAAGTCTTTTCTTTCCCGTAGAGGGTGACTCCTGAGGAGTCCCAGCACGGTAGAAGAGACCGGGCCCTCTTTGCAGGATACCGGATTCTTCGTATTCGCGTGAGGTGATCCGTAGCGGGTTTTACCACGTAGGCCTTCCATAACAACCTGTCCTTTTTAGGACGGGGTGGAAGAAGAGCCCTCGTTTGCAGCTCAAAAAAAGGTTTGTATTGGTTTCATTAAATACATTTAGCTTAATGTCAAGGTGGAGGGTGAAAAAAGTACCTCCATTCGCCAATATGGGTACGCCTATGGAATTGTTAAAACAGTCTCTATAGGTATTATATGTAAAAATAGCTAACCTGCATTACAAGTGTTTTCCACATAATGTAAATTGCATTACAAATTTCTTTTGCATTATACTCAATTAGCTATTATGTTTCAGGATCTAGAAAATTTGGCTGTATGTAAATCCATTAAATAATTAGTAATTTAAGTATAGTTTTTATAACATAAGAATTATAGAGTGCTTCTCATATCTAAACGAATAATGATGCAGCCCGTAGCGGTATTTCCCTTAGGCAAACATGGCCCGTGTTAAAAAGCACGACATTACCTACAAACAAGCGGGAAGTAATGTAGAAACCTGGAGTTCATCACTTCTTATTTGAAATCAGTCCGAAATCTTTTGCTATTTTTTGTGTTTCTCATAGAAGTCATAGTCGGATTCCGTTCAAAATAGACTTAACTAGAATAACTTAACTTTTTAGTTAAAAATATACGTAACGTACGTAGTTAGTCATCTTGGCACATCTATCTATCTACTCGTACAGGTATACTTCTACTTATCGATTGTAAATTAAAGAGTACAACTCGTTCAAGTTTTGATGAATATCGAATACCTACACCGATCAAAGATTTAATTTCATTTTTGGCGTTCTTGATCTCGGAATCAAAAATATTTTGAAGGAAATATTATGAAGAAAATATTTATGAAGGTATTATTGGCATAATTCTTAGCGGCTTTGCTTTTTGTAAATTGCGGTTAACTTTTTAAGATAAATAAAAAACAAGGGAACAGTAAACATTTTTATTGTAAATATTTCATTATTGTATCCCCTTATATTCGCGATGCACTCAATGGCTTCTCAGAGCGTTCATCGAAACTCGTGATGGCACCACCTCTGACTAAAGTGTTTCAATTTACTTTTATTTCGATTGGTTAATACTTGAATAGGCACGTGTTAAGATTACTATATTGCCATCACGAGTTTCTACTATCGTTTGCAAAATTATACAAGCATCTCTACGCAACATTTCAGTCGGCTCATATTTTAATGTACTTAGACACTACAGAACTGACTTCATTATCCGATTGAGCTCAACATCAAACTATGTAACGAACCAAATAGATCAGATAACTGAAAGTAGTGCTCACACATAAAAATCTAAGTTAAAATTAACCATAAAATAACTTAAATGGACGTATTTAGACAGCTAGCTTTTCTAGTTAAAACAATAAATTTTACTGATTTTGTAAGAATAGGTCCATATCTGAGGGGGGAATCCGTTGATCGTACCACGGAGTTATGCATCAGTATGCAACGGATCATCCGTCAAACATGCAATATTCTTTCTGCGGCGAATGATATACGCATCGTATCCTGCGTCTGATATGAACCGATCCCAACTTTTTTATAAATACATATGTAGTCAGTTTGAAACACTTTCAGTGGGCAATCGATATTACAAAATTATGTAGAAATAAATGTCGTTGATTGATATTCCTGTGTTTAGTTTCATATTTATACTTTCAAATGCAAAAGCTACGTTCGTAGCTTACAGTTGATCATTCCGGCATCGGTATAGGTTTATAGATAAGAGGCCGTCCATTAATTACGTGAGGCTAGAAAGGGGGAGGGGGGAGGGAATTCATCAAAAATAATTAAATATCATAAGGAAGAGGGGGAAGTAGTAATATATTTTTCTTTTAATTTTATGGGATTGGGTGTATGTTGATTATGTTGATATCATGGTGTCCATAACAATGAATTTGTATTAAGATAAATTAAAAGGTTTTTTTTTGTAACAGACTCAGTTTTTTCGACCTGGATTAAAGATCATATTTTGCTACGTCCTTGATTTATTAAATAATAAAGTAAAGAGTTGCAAATATCGAAATCATAAGCAATAAACTTAATAACGTTAGTAACTAGTATTTGAAAAAATAAAAAAGAATTTATTTAATATTAGTAAGACAGATACCATTAAAATTTTGACCAACAATAACTCATGTCAGTATTTATATTATACGATTAAACTGCTACTACATAATTCCTTTTTATTAATATGGCCGGGTTGCTTCTGTCTTAACTTTAATATTATAGTGAAATTATAAACAAAACAAAGAATTTAACTCATCTCAAAGGTAAAGTAATTAATCTGTTGCATTTGGTAGACATTACAAGTGTCTATTAAATGTGGTGACAACTTTAAGGAATGACAGATTCTTTTAAATAGTAGTTTGTATCAATCTTAAGATCACATGACAGTAAAAATTACGTTTTGAAATGGGGTTTATCATATTCCCATGATATTTTTATCAGTACTAATGGCTTAATTAACAAATTATTGACGTAATAATGACTAAAATTTAAAACACCGGAAATAAAGAACAATACAAAAGATTAAGATTAAACAAATCAGCTCAATCTCTATATTTTAATAGTTATTTTTACCCCTTAACTTTCCTTCTAAAAAACAAATAAAAAGTTACATCGAATTCAATTCTGACGGTGCAAAACTACTAAAATTATAGGCTTCTAAACGCACAATATTTTTCGGCAATTAGTGGCTGCAGTATAAGCAACTTATTGCCTGGCCATCTCAGAAATGTTTTTGGTCGTCCTGTAACCTTTCAAAATAATATTGACCATACCAAAAATATGACCAGAATATAACAGCAATATACAATCTAGCTGGCCACTTTTGTAGCCACTAATTGTCCGTCTAAACGGACAATATTTTTCCATGAACAGGAACAATATTTTTTCATATAAATTGTTTTTTTCAATAATACAATTTATATATTATTATTGAATGCTAGATAGAGTGAAATAAATTCTATAGGTCACATAGAAAACAAAAATTTTGTAAAAATATAACTCTCACACAAACTGTACTATTTCTTAAGCCGTTTCCAACAAGAATTTAAGGCGTCTCAGCATAGCGACTAATCGCACTTTTTATATTTATAAGTTTATCTAAGAACTTTAAACTTTTTAGTTCAAAAATTTGTAAGGTGTTTAGCGTAGAAGAATATTATTTTGTTAATAAATATAACTATAATAGTACTTTTTTATAAATAGTTATTATTGACGACTAGTCAAAGTAGAACGTTATTTTACTAAAACTTTATTAGAATCTACAGAGCATTAAAATATAGTAGATAATTATTACTACAGCAAAAAGTGGTTAATTTAAATGTGCATTTTTATAAAAACCTTTCCCCGTAAATTGGGTGAGTAATAATAATTAATGGCAACATATGCGTTCGAAAAATAATTTGCGTATTTTCGCGCGCTTTTTTATAAAAATGCACTGTATCAAGTATTATGTAGATAAATAGGAAATTCAACAGATTTTTAAAAAGTGGATTGTATTACTAAGAAAGTATTATTTCTGAATAGATAGAGATGTATTATAAGCTGCACTATCGAAACGGTGTGCTACTTGTCACGCAGAAGTCGGTAAAATGGAATTGATAAATTTCGTCACACGTTACACAGGTCTAACGATGAATTGATTAAGCAAACATATAAAAGAGCTGAATTTAATAATATTAAAATAAAATCTTTGAACATTATAACACAAGAAATCGATTAAACTTAAGTATTACCAACAATCATTCACGCCCCTCTAATTGTATTACTTAATAATTAGAATATATTTCTTTAAATATATGATATTTGTAAATAACGTAATATTACCGTCGTAATAATCCAACACACAACATAATAATTTTGCCAAAGCGATATGTTTTATTATTGTAGCATTATGTCTATGTATGCATTCGTATTATAATATTTTATTACCGTATTTCACTGTGATATCAAATACTACTCTTAACATTTATTACATGTTATTTGATCCGATAAACAAATGATGATCCTAACTGTACATAAAGCTTTTATAAAATAAAAATCTACACCTTGTTAATTCTAATCGTTAATCACACTAAGCTATGCGTAAACTGGCCACTTATGTATATAACTAGCGCATAACGCTTTTTCGATTATCTATTCTCAAAATGGCTGACATTCTAGAATGTAATCGAATGCAAAAGAAGGTTTCTTCATCACAGAACAGTTTATACGCTTTTTGGTATTGCATTAACGCGAATATTTCTTTTACGGAAAATAATGTTTATGCAATAACAAAAAGCTGTTTGAAAATCTCATCTCAGTACATCGATATAAGCAAAGAAAGGTATGTTTACATAAAAGTGTATATTGTGTGAGCTTAAGCTGCGCTAAAACCAAGATGAGGCTCCACCGAGTTTCGTTGACAGCTCGCCGATACCCCGACCGAAAATGTTTCCCACCTAAACAATTAACAAGAAAAATAATTTTATTGTTTTGACTAAACAAGTAATGTATATTTATTTCCTTAAAAAGCGGGAAAGTGTTAAGAATTGGCAACATTACCAATTTGCAAAAAAAAAACCATAACAGATTACATTTCAAAACAATGAAAATCAGTTTTAAAATGCCAATCGTAACTATTATTTTAAATGTGGAAATGTGTTTGTTTGTTTGTCCTTTCGGGACGAAACAGCAGCACTTGAGCGATTTTTTTTTGTTATGAGATAGGTATTTGTAAGACTCGACATAGGCCTAATTTCCTTAAATTACCAAGAAAAAGCAATTATAACAGGCAAAATAATCAGCTGTTTCAAACTATTTGCGATTGTAGGTGAAACAATTTTGTATGAAACAACTGATATTTTTTATGTGAATTCAGTGTTGCTCTAATAGTAAAAGTTGTTTAGTATATTTAACTAATCCACCCACGAAGTCCTGGCACATAATAATAATATTACACCTTATATTATGTACTAAAAATGTTTTACCTTCCCCACAACCGCAGTGACATTGCCGAGTTTGGCTTCCTCCGTGAGCGCCTCCAATTTCGATTTGCCGCTCCTCGAACCTTCCTCGGATCCGCCGTCATCACCACCACTGTTTATAAAGATAAATAATATTTAGAGCAAGAAACAACATGCCGCATTATCCGGTAAGCGTTCTAGTTTACTGCCATATTTACACTGGTATAAGGGGCGACGCGGTATGCGGGTGACTTCTGCACGCTCATCTCATTTGTCAATAAAACCATAGACACAAAAAAGATTAAAACAATGACTGACTGATGAAAGCGAGCAACAGGAGCTTGCCCTGCGATTCTGTAAAAATCCGGACACGAATACGAATTTTCGTCCCAATTCACATCATTTGTATAGAAGTTCTATTTATTCCATTTCCATTTATAAAAATACAAAACATAATTGATTGAATATACTTGTTCCAGATATTCTATTCCTATATAATTTCGAAACTCATTTTACTTATGCCACGAAACGTTATTACCAATTCAAAGTTGAGCGGATTTTTTGAAGTGAATTCAGATACCTGAGTGAATTCGAATTCGTGTTTGGATTTTTTTCAGAATTGCAGGGCTGATTGTCTAATTTCAAAGGGATTACGAGTGATTTTGATATTAAACAATTTAGGCCACTGAAATCGCCCGCACGCCGCACGGAGATCACATCGACCAGCGTTTATACGCTATACCCTTGTTTTAGTTCTACTATAGTGTCTTCCTATTATACGACTTTTTATTTTATTTTATTTAAGCTTCTTTTATACGTAGATAAATATTATCTTCGTATTATTATTTTTTATGATGTATTTTTATGATGATTTTGGAATTTTACCTACTTCTGGGTTGATTCGCGGAAGGGGAAGTCCTAGATAGGACATGCAACTTTATCAGAAGCTGAGTAAACTGATATTTTACTTATTAATTAAAATACCTATTCCTGTAAAATGGACATTAAAGATTATCGTTATAATTACCCAATCATTAAAAAGTTAAATTACAAAAGGGCCTTTCGTTAAAATAATTCACTAAGGGTATGTTCCGATATGCACTGCGACCACTGAACAGTATGACGTCAATTTAGTATACTGGAAGCCCGTTCCTTTAAAACTAGTTATACTGGTGGACTTTTTAAAACGGAACGCAGTCCAGTATATTGTTAATTCTATTTTTTGGCGCCATTTTCAAATTTGTTAATGCAAGGTGAATATAAATATAAAGATTCCCTCTTTTCAAAAGAAAATTGGAAAATTGTATAAAAAATTATTTATCAATTAAATCCATCTTATAAATAAACGTAAGTATTTTTTTTTTGTTTATTTAGAAACTTATCATTTTCTGATTCTGTTTCGACTGATCACGTGATCAAAATCACTGCGAGCACCTTACCTCGAAATCTCCAGTGCTCACAGTACAAATATGGCGGCAATTTATGACGTCATAAATTTCCCTAGGGTACTGTAGCAGTGTACTAGCAGTCCATAACGGAACGGATTTTTCAGCAGTAAGACCACTGCGCAGTGCTCGCAGTGTATATCGGAACATATCCTAAAATCATTATTTTAGTTGCCGTTTACATTGTTTTAAAAGAGTATGATCATTTTTGTGAATTTAGTTTTAATAAGGACTTTAGAATAACTAACAGCTTACTAGTTCTATTTGTGATCTTAAAGCTATTCGCATTTAGCTGATGTTATAAAAAAGAAAAACCTTGGCTAAACTTTTCCTAAAACTAAAAGGTATATTGTATGAGGTTTACAAATGTGCACTCACGATCACAAATTTCAGCAATCATTGTGTGCAAAATAATTGGAGGATTGGAGAGAACACAAAATCTTCATCAAATTAATGATGATTTTGCATAACCTTATACATACTGTTGAGTAGCTATAAAAAATGTCAGATAAGAATAAAAGTTTGATTATTATTCTTATCTTATACATTAATCAGTTGGTATATTAATGTCTACTTAAAAAGCTGTATTTTATTTACTATTTCGCTATTTGTGTTAAAAAGCAATATCAAATGTCTCGCATAGTAAGGCAGATTTTCACTTAACCTTCTATTTACTTTAATATGAGATGAGCAATAATTGGGTACCCATAACTTAAAGCAAGGTCAAATTGAGTCTAAAGGCTCAAGTGACAAATTCTATACTACGTTTTTAATATTTCTTTATTTCTATGAATGTCTTATAACCAATTGTTATGTGTTCTGCGAGTGAAGCTGATGAGAAGCATTTGTATACATATAAGACTTCGCTGATTATAAGCATCTGACCTGTCCTCTTCCTGAAGTCTGGAAGCATTATTAATGTTGTTAGTATTTTTATACATTTCCATATCATCAGTAAATAGGAGAAGAATGAATATAAATGTGATCTTTATTATTTAATTATAATACTAGAAATAAAATAGGCCACAAATATGATCCTTGTAGGATTACCAAACAAGATTCGCTGTAAACAGTGTTTCTCTCATTTTGCTGCATGGGAATTATGTGGAGTACTAAATTATTATATTGATTATATTTAAAAACTTAGTGTTAAAAGGTATAGTATTCTGGTAGATCAATAAGTAGCTGAAATACCCTGCATCTTGTTGAGCCAGCAAAAGACTGCACGTGGCTTCTTCGGTATGCATTCTAGCTGCCACATTTTGGTAGACTTTAGAGTTTAACTTGTCATCTATAACACCCTGTAGCTCAAAATCGCTGTACATTTTCTGTAAGAGAAACCTGACAGTTAGAGAAGGGATTTTAAATTATTTGTATTTAATTAACAACACACTTTGTATTGGTGAAATAGAAAAATTTTTTGGAAGTGTGGAATATGCTGATTATACCTTCAATATTATTGACAGGCAGGCAACCTGTTGTGGGTGCAGCGCGGGGCGCTCGCCCAGCCAGGTATTGATGAGTCCAACCTGAATGCCATACCAGTGCTCGAACAGCTGCAGAATCCAAAGCTCATCTGTCACCTGTAAATTATCAGATTCGGAAGTACATACATTAAATTTCGCGCTGAAATTCACCATTCCAGTTTATTACGTTTGTTTGCTTTTAATAAAATTATCAATTTAATTTTATTAGACATTACAATATTACATATCATCAAGTATTTAATTAATTTTAGATTTAGGGATCTACTATTTATATAACGTATAACACTTAATCCTGATTAATATATACCAAAATTTTTGCATCTTACCTTTGATCTAATTTGGTCCATAGAATTCCTCATAAAATTAACGTAACCTTGACCGATGTCTTTGCCGGAACCCGATACGTTTGCTATGGTCAAGATCGAACCTATTAAACTGGGGACAAGGTAATTTAGTTACCAACCATCCTGTCTTAGAACAGACATTATTGCATTAGAATAGGTTCATTTCGTAGGAAAAGGTATATGCCATTTTCTTTATGTTTATTACCTTCCTTCATCGAACCGGGCAATCTTTGCTAATGTGGCTTCGAGAACGGCTGACAACCTTGTAGTCATTCCAGTCGCCATTGCTTGTAGACATGCTTCGATTTGAGCGTCCATTTTGGTGTGATATTGATACTGCGAGGAAAATAAAATTATTTAGGATCATCGAAAGATAAGGGTATTTTTGTTAGCTACCTTAGGAAGGAGGACAGATACCCACATGAAGCTCTTTCGTCTGGTGCGAAAGCGTCAAAAGAAAAGCTCTAGGTGCCTAAACTTTTTGAAGTGTTTCCGAATGGGGCCTAAGTGTGGGTACTTTAAACTCCAGCCATCCACCACGACAGCTAACGGAGTCCCACTTCCTACCCTTAGGTCTATAATATCTTACAATATCCACCCCTTCAACGGCGCAAAGCTTCAGTGCCTGGTTCTTCGCATCCAAAGCAACGTTCACCATCGCGCATGTCTCTGCGGGCAGTATGTAATCCGTTGACATGAAAGTGACGCTTTTCTTTAACCACGACTAAAAAAGAATATCAATATTTGAATTTATCTAAGTTAATTTTGACAGCAGAAAAAATCAATAAAATCTAGGCTGAAGTTAACCTGGAAAGATGCTTCAGTTCTTTGGATACAGGTTTCCATCATATCGCTGGCCATCAGCTTCAGTCGCTGCTCTAAATGAGACCTGAATTCTGGTTCTGGCCAATGGAGATCTCTTATGAAGCATTGTAGCGCATCTAATTTCCAAAATAATTCCTCACTTGTAGCACAACCATTTCTGAAACATAATGTCGAGAATACAACACAAAGTAATGATTACATTTATTTAATTTATTAGGCTTTTTAATATTATGAACACGAACAATGTAACGTTTTGCAAGATGATTATTATCATTTACCCTTTAATTTCCCATCGCTCCTTTTCAAACCCTTTGTGTAAAGATTGAGCAATAGAAGATTCCATAAGGTCGACATAACGCACAACTAATGGCGCAAAAGTATCCCGCAGGTGTTCATGGAATCTACCTCCCTTTAAGTTTTCTGTGGACAACGTTTTTAATATATTTTACTTAAGATTATTAGCAAAATAAAGGGTCGGTCACGGGATGGGTGACCAAAAAATTATTATCTCGAGCTACTCCGTGCTTCGGAAGGCACGTTAAGCCGTTGGTCCCGGCTGCATTTGCTGTCGTTAATACCCTCTAATCCGCATTGGGCCAGCGTGGAGGGTCATGGCCCATCCTCCTTAACCATCCATAAGGAAGGCCTGAGCCCCTGCAGTGGGGACGTAAAAGGGCTGGTGATGGTGATGTGATGAATATTATTTATATAACAATAGTACTATAGTTATGTATATTATACAAAGAATTTATGCTTTTATTTCGTAACGAAGCACACTAGAGATGCATTTTACTTTAATAATATAATAATAAGATTTACCGTCAGTCCTTAGATAATCGTTTAAAATCTGGAACAACGGGAAAGAATCCCATGTGTCCGGTGGCTGTTCTGCTAGTACTCGATCCATATCGACACCGAAAAGAGCCCAGAAGATCTCGGCATGCTCTACTAGCAGTTCTGAGAACCACGCGAAAGCCTGAACAAAAGGAAGTTCTGGATGTTGGCATCTATTATTATGGACTGTGTATCTTTTGATATGGAAAATGCATTAGAGAAAGTGTCAGTCAAATAAGAAAAAGTTTTAGGGCAGTACTGTGAATAGTAGGTATTTTTTAATTATTTGATATAATTGAAATGATTACAGAATTTGTAAAAAGGGAAGTTAACATACATTGGTTTGATTTCAAACACCATTTGATTGTTTAGGTACTGATTATAGATATTTTAATTTATGAAGATAATAGTAACTGTAGATGCAGATTTATTTTAAATCTGGAGTACTTACCTGGTAAAGTTATCCAAAATATTTGCAAGTAGATTTACGAATATTAAGTGAATCTAAATGAAACTATTTTAACACTTTGCAAATATTTTGATATTACGAAACAATCTAGATCAACAAAATATAAACTTTCAAGGAAACCATGCAACAAATCCTTACGAATTTAAAAGTACAAAGCTCGTTCTATCTACTTTTGTTTGATTGGTGGTTGTGAAGCTGTTTGTAAGTTTTAAGAAATATTACCGTGTATTGAAACTAATGTTATTGTTATGAAATATGTACAATTAAGTTTGATGTTCAAACGTATTAAATGAATCTCAAGATGTGTGTTGAGCAAGTGCAAGCTTAGAACTGTTCTAAAAAATAAATTGGCGTCTACTAAAGCTACAGTCTTTGTAATGTGCTTTGTGTTGTTCCATTTTATTAATATAGTGTTTTTTTTTCGAATTATAATTATGTAAGTGGATATTAAAAGTTATGGAGTAGACTGATTGAGAATGTACATAAAATACTTTTCATTGCAGACGTTTTGATCAACAATCCTGCCAATAGTGTTGCTAGATAAATCGACAAGATACTCTGCAAAAAATTTGGTTCAAGAGCCTAGAATGAAAAGTTGGAATCGACAGTAAGAATACAAGACTAAATTGGTCTATTCTCAATCGATATCCATGCAATGCTCTCAATCCCTGGTCTCTAAAACTAAGCAATTGCTTAAGCGTGTGCCGTACATTGGGACGTTATTGAGTCTACTCCCCATAAATTCGTGATCAAACCAATCGAAGTGAAGTATGATCAAGATCGAGTGAACAAACGATTGACAAGTGATTCGATCAGCCGAGCAACAATCAAATATGAGTAGTTACATTTTGTTGACCGCTAGAGTCCGGTTTTGTGTTATAAACCTGCGGAGAAATAAAAGATAAGATAGAAGTGGAATTTAAATAAGTTATTCAAAGAATATTTTGCGTACAACCAACGTCGATAAGAGAATGCTTAACCTGCGTTAACTTAAAGATTAAGCAACAAACGATTTATTAAAACAAAGACTTTGGTTCAATTCTATTATTACTTTATTAATACACAACGAAATTCTCATTTCAAAACATTTTAAATTAATTGGCTGACAAGAAAATGAGTGGTATTTGAAATATTTTCCATGTAAGCCTATTTATAGTAAAATAAATATAATGCTTTATCATTACCCACACTAATAGCGATAGAAGAATAGGGTGCTATTGTCCAGTGAACATTGATAGTACTAGCAAAACTTTCAAAGAGCAATACGAGTAGAACTTGGCAATAACAAATTCAATTTATCGTTAAAAATTCAAGTTTAAAGACTTCAAAAATTTTGCTAAACATATACCACAACATATAGGATTGCAATTTAATGAACCAATACTTTGGAGCACAATTATTTTGTAAAATATCTATGGTTTAAAAAATTAAAGTTCATCAGTGCTCCAAATTTAGTTCGTTTAAGTTCAAGTTTGAGGTTCGGAAGTTGTACCTCTGCATAGTGTTCTTCATTTTGTTGCAGAAGGTCTACGCACAGCTCTGCAAGATGAATCAGATCTTCCAGCTTTTTTGCCGGCGTTACCATCGTTTCACCTCTTAGATCCTCTGCAATTTCGATGAATTAGATTGCTAGACTTATAATTACTGTCTGATTTTGATATTGTCTTACTGAATAAGCTTTTGTATCATTATGCATTTGATGTTTTATTCGTTATTATGGTTAATATCTTAATCTTAAATATATATTCTAGTAGACTGTTATCTCTTTTCAACTGTACCTTCAATATTTGCTTTCTGGCTGAGCTGTGTATAGTTCAATAGTGCCGCATTTTCTAAGCTCGTCTGTATCATCGCTCGAACTTCTTCAGGTGCAACTGGTGTTACGACATCTTTCATTAGCACGCGTTCCAAGAGCGATAAAGTGGCCTGCAAATTATTACTTTTTCATAATTTAATGTTTATTTTTTTCAAGATTTTTTTTTAGTTTCTTAAACTTTATTTTCAGATTTTAAAGCGAAATTAGTTATGAGTTTAGTACCTTCAAAGCTCCCTCCGGTCTTCCAAATGGGAACGCGTATCTAAAGTTAGTGATCTGATGCTGCAGCAGTGATTTCAGGCGCTCCTTTATCTCAGCGAACTTCTCCTTTTCTTGTACCGTGATACTGCCCACACCGTCTGGCCTGCCAGGCAACGTCGCTGTACTGTGAACCACTTCGAGCGTGGAGCTTACTCTAGTAGGGCACAAGCAGGGTTAGGTTGGTCTCGGAAGTTGGCATTCTAATAATTGTTTTGAATTTTAAAAAGAGTGATTTGATTTTTCAGATTAAAATAATAATATCCGATATTAACTTTAACACTTTCATGACTCCCTCTGTTGTTATTTTAATATTTTTGATTTTGTGTCTAAAAGACAAAATCATAATGCACTACAGAAACTTCTAATGTCGTTCATAAACCATTTATCATTTTTGTGATATCTCTAAGTATTTACCTTTATAATTTAAAATACATAATCAAATAATTATTTATCATGCATTAGGATTTCTGTAGGAAGTTAAAGTAAAAAAACAATAGATTTTATTATTGTCTTGAGGTTCTTTATGGGGCAAAGTGGATACAGTTTGTTTAGAGAACTTTTAAGAATTGTTAGTTCTTTACCTTTTGAGTTTCCTCATGGTAAATTAGGTACTGTCAATTATTTGAAAATCAAATCACTTATAAATAAAGCCATAAATAATTCAATTTGTTTCTATTGCCAACTTCTCAGGACCGGAGATGAAATATTAGTAAGGTCAAGCATAGGTACAGAGTTAGTATTAAGCACACATTTAATGGCAATAGATATAGGGCTAATTACTTTAGATCCAGGGGACATCTAACAGATTTAAGAGAAAGCGACATTACACTTAGTGGGGCAGTCAGGCTAGTGTGAGACAATATTAAATGACGACAACTGTGTTTGATTAACGTTGAAAAGTAAATCATGAAATTTGTAAGAGCAAAGAAAGGTAATATTGTAAACGGTTATTGCAAAATCCCATACATCAAACTCAGTTGCTTAACTAACTATTGGTATGCATCAACAAACACCAACATATTTATTTAATTATAATTGAGTAGGATACATTAATACTATGAATATCGCTAATATAGGTTCATTCCATGACCATTCATCTATGTTGTTATGTTTATAAACTATTCAATATAACTTAAGGTGTAGAGCTTATACTATGTGAAATAAGAGTAGGTAAATATTTTTTTTATTACTCTAAGTAATTGAATATGCTACGATTATGGAAATATATATATCTGTATTTTCAATTTTATCAGCAATAAAAGATATTTGGGTATTTATTCAATAACCTGAATATAAAAACCAACGTATATAAATTCTTTAGAATATTATACATAATTAAGCGATCAAAGCAAGCGCATTGTAAATATGTATAATATTATTGCTTGCTATAGTTCCTTTTGAATTCAATCACAATATAAAATCTCTTACTTCATATTTTAGTTGATATAGAAGCACTATAGCTGAATTACAAACTATTGATTTTGTATTAGAAGTTTATTAAAGTACTCACCTGTTTCCATGCACATGACTCGCACAAAACGCAAAAGAGTAATGCATTAGAGTTGGATCAACTGTTTGTGATCCACTTTCGGCTACATCGAGTAGGTCTGACAGATAACATAGATGACGGTAGCAACCTCGCACGCCATATCTTGCACAGTATTCATCTAGAACGAATACTTGACCAGGGGAGAACCAACCCTGAAATAAAAAGGATGTGTATTAAAAATTCTATATGTTATAATTGATTTATTAGTTATTTTCTGCCTAAAATACATACCAATGAGCAATAGGGATCTTGAAGACGGTATTTTAAAGTCAGTGATTGTAATGTACAGAATAAAAGATGGTGATCAAACTGACATGGATCTGCTTGTATGTAATCCTCCATACCGTGCTTGCGTGCTTTATCTGCATCTAAAACAACAATGCCATGTTTAAAATGATAATATAAGAAAATGAAAAGAAGAATGAAATAACTTTTTAGAAAATTTGGATTTTTTAATGAAAAATGCTTAAAAAACCGTTCAGTTCATCTTGTTTGGGTGAATGTTGATGAAATGACGTAGCGAAAAGTGACAAGAGTTTGAAAAATTCGTCAGTCCTATCGGGTCTCAAGTAGCTCAATGGCTAGAGCAGTTGCCCGGATTGTTAAATGTTGTGGACTCGATTCCATTACAGGGTGGTGCTGTGTGGTGGTGGCACCTGGTGCTGGTGGATTTTTTAAGTATTTTTCATTAAAGATATTTTTCAATTCATTGGGAAATCCAAAATTGTTCAAATCTTTTGAAATTTTATTCTTAATTTTTATAATTCAACATTTAACGATAAAATTAGTAAAATAATGGACATGGATACAAGGAATCGGCTACTAAATTAGAAACTTTTTTTATTACTTTTATTTGTCATACCTCCCATAATTTTATGATGTGTATCGGACGTGGTGGGTGGTGTGGGCTTGTGACTTTGTCCAGTTGCTCTATACAGTGCCATCACCCATAAATGACATTCGTTCTCATCTGTTACCCCCATCAAAACGGATTCACCATCTCTTACTGCGTTCATAAAATACTTTGCACCTTCGAGCTCTGAATGAAATATTAAAAATCCTGTTAGTCTATGTAAGTTTTAGGATACAACAAATTCATTTTAATTTAAGAGCAAACAGGCTTAGATGGAAGGGTTTAATGACGATTATAATTCTAAACTAATCTTTATTTCGAAGATGTTAGTTTTGAAAATACCTAAAATGTTTTACAAAAAAATTAATGCCAGATAATGGATATATGAAATCTATTATTGCTTCAAATTACAAATAAAATATGCTCCAGTTTTTTTTTTTTATGAATAGCTTTACTTCTAGCAGTTTTTACAAACGATGTTCGTTACTAATAGCGATCTGATTTTGTTTCAATAAATCTAATTCTTACTACTACTACGTAGCTAAGCAAATAGTTTACTGTTATGTAATTTCTTTGGCATCGTTATGTAAAACCAGCGTTAAGTAATATTTGTTTATAAATTATATTTAAGCTTTCTATAATATATATAAATCTATTATTTACGCAGAAATAGTTGAGTTTCTATCAAGCAGACTGTCATACTGGCAGACTACTACTTCGAAATGTATATGTTCCTTATTTAATGTTTATGTTCCGGATTCCAGCAAAATGTCACTATTTACCATTTCTACTTGCCTACATAAGTATTGAAACATTGTGTTCTTACCTATTTGTTTGGTCTTACCTTGTCCCACAATCAGCTGAGCTGTAATATTTCATTAAAATTATTGCAATATTAGTGAAGAAGAACATTGAAATCTAATATTTTTAAAGCAACGGCTATTAAAGCTTACTTCAGACAGAAATTTCATAAATTTTTCAAATAATGTTTACGTTAATCGTATGAAAGAAAGTATGGCGAGAATATTGAAATGGTGACCGATTGAGTACTGCACAAAAAGAATATATATTGCGCTGACCCCAAACAATTCAGGGCCTACTCAGATGAAATATGATTAAAATGGTCCAAAACATTTGGAGAAAGGCCTACCACTGGCGAGTTCGATGTAGTCGACAGTAAAACCATCTAATTGCATCATCTCCGCTGGCTCGGACTTTTTATCTTTATAAGAACAGAGTGCAAATGTATACTGGCTAACTTGAACTAGAACCATATAGCGACGTTTCCATTTTCGCCAAACATTTTTGCCTATGACATGAAGGTAGCTGGAAAAAGAAAAAAATTTCATCGTAAATACTTTTTTCACTAATGGAGTATGGGAAAGTTGCCGTTAGAAGTACTTTCTTTATTTATAAAATAATAAATATTAAAAATTGTTTCCGAAATTGCTTGGCTTACTCTTATTTAGACATATATTTTTTGGTGCTCTGAAATATATTTTTTAACTACTTTCGTATGTAGTAGATTTATCTAACACGCTGGTTTAATTAATTAATTAATTAATTACGTCGACATTGCAAAAGCCAATTATGATTAATGATAAAAACAAACCTTTTTATCAATAAACTAGCTTAATCGACAAACGTTGACCTCTCTTAATTATGAATATTGAATTTGAACAGCTTTTTTAAATCCTACTCCTTTTATTAGCGGCTTGTTTGTGCGTTTCGCACAATTCTGCCAATGCCAAGTGAATAAAAATTTCTACATATAAAATGAAAATGAAATGAATGAAAGATAGCGATGATATTAAAATCTTGGTAGCTCAGTGGTTAGAACAGTAGCCCGGATTTTGGAAGGCTCGAGTCCCATCTTAGAGTGCCAGAGATAATGTGGATTATTAATATATAGTTAATATATATAATATAGAATAGTTAACCAGGTCTTTCTTAAGAGCTATATTACATTTCCACGGTGATTTTTATTTAAAATGGTTAATTTTTGGTGGTCTCTATATTAAATACTTTTGACTCATTGAATAGCGTAGAATAGCTCTAGCCATAGTTTGTGTGGCTTCACTTTTTAGAAATATTTGATTAACCTTTTGATTAAACGCATTTTTGAGCTCCTGGATTAAGCTACTGTTCTAAACAAATGTAAAAAAATATATTTCTTATATAGTCGTTTAGTTTGTAGTGACTTTGAAATTTTGAAAGAACATTGATTAAATATAGGCAAAAAAAAACCATATGATAATCCAAAAAACTTCAAATATGAAGTTAATAGTGAATTTCTTCTATCTACGATAATATTGTGGAACTTAATTTATACAAGAATAATGACTATTTTATAAAGAAATAAGATTTTATAATTTTTAAGCATAAATTTATTATCTTATTTCAATAATAACGATAAATGTAAACGCAAAATTATTACAAAATGCGACGCATCGGCCGTCTGAGCTCATTATTGCGCGAGCTCTCCTCAACGTTGGTCCTATGTCGAATTTCTTCGCGCCATTGTACACGCGTTCGAACACAGTAAAAAATAGTATGCCGAGCATTGCTTTTCATAATTATGGGAGTTATTTGCTGGTTGGTATTTCTTTTTAAATCGTATTAAAATCAAAACTGATAAAAACGGAATGCATATTACCATGGGTGTAAAATTTATTTCCTCTATTTATAATATTGTCGCTTTCTGTATTTTTAAATTAATTAGACCAAATGGTTTTAGTTCATTTTGAGTTGCTCGGTAGCGTAGTGAAAAAGCGCCGTGGCCGCTACCGTTGTTGTAAAGCAATTTTCGCAAGGGTCGGTTACGGGATGGATGGCCAAAAAATATTATCTCGAACTACTCCGTGCTTCGGAAGGCACGTTAAGCCGTTGGTTTTGACTGTATTTGCAGTCGTTAATACCCTCCAATTGCATTAGGCCAGCGTGGAGGGTTATGACACATTCTCCTTCACCATTCATAAGGAAGGCCTGAGCCCTTGCAGTGGGGACGTTAAAAGGCTGGATGATAAAGGGCGAAAGGATGATGATGATGATGATGATGGTTATCTTTCATGATGATGAAGATGGTAAACGTTGCAAGTGTTGCGACGGCGCTACATTACTCGTGAAACTACTATGAATATGGCTATAAAGTGAATTACACGCTTATATTTAATCTTTTTTAAAAGTTTTATTCTAGTCAAATAAAGGACTAGTTAATATTTTTTTTATAAATATCATCTAAGTCATTAAGCGTACCATCGTCATATAATCTGACTTAGATTTATGGCTCTCTAAAAACTCTATCGCCTACCTACCCTACTTTTCAAATGGTTAGTTCTTTTAAAAGTTATGGTGGAATAAAAAAAGTCACATACATACTTATTATTATTATATTAATCCTAAACACAATATACTCCTTTTCTTGATCAGTCGCTTAAAAATGGGCAGTAATAAAAATAAAGAAGCACCCTATCGATATACTAAAACAATATAACTACAAAAATTGGGAATAAATTTCAAAATAGCTTGCTCGTACTTTCAACACAGTATCGTCAGAGTATATTAGAGTACATTGAATTCATACATACGTAACGGAAACGGTTTGTTAAATAAATAAAATTGTGCCTTGAAACTACAAATTCAAAGGTGGCTTTGAATTCGAGTAGAAAATATAACATTTCGTACTTGTCGAAATATGCGATTTTTTTTTCTGTACTTTGTAAAAAGTCAAATAGAGAAAAATAGAGTTTTTTTCTGACTATTATTTGATAGTGTTACTATCGTTAAAATATTCAGCTATCAAGTTTGAAGATTTGAATTTTTGTGAAGATTTTTCAAAACCCTCAACAGATGTCTCGAATTTAGTTAGTAACAGAAGATTTTCAATTTTTCACCTCATGAAATAATAAAAAGACGTTGTATTATAGATCTCTGATGTTTTCTATATGGTCTGAGCATTTATGACGATTTAAGTATCTATAAGCAACAACCTTACCTATTTAGGTTATTATCGCTCGCTCGATGCTAGAGTCGGCGTACTATTCTATAATACTATGGTATTGTGAACTAGTGACCGTAGACATGTAGCTTCAAATACCTAAACTAATACCTAACATTTGTAATAGGGTACTTATTGGTCACGCTCACGTTAAGTTTGTCATAATATTTTTTTCAAAACATATTCTTCTTAAAGAATATTTATCAGCATTGTTTTTAAACTTTCGTCAGGACATGTATTTTTGTATTCACTAATAAAATAGAGTTATCTCTAAAATTAAATTTTATTGAATTTCTTTACATAATTTATAGTATTTTACTTCAATAGTTTTTTCTTCTGGGGTCCCGGGTCCGTTTCCCAGGCGGGTCAAATTAGAAAATGAACTTTTCTATGTTGTCTCGGGTCTAGGTGTTGTGGTTTCTTCGTTGTCTCAGATACTTCATAGAGGGGCCTTAGCTACTCATCTTGTTATCGGAGCAATGTATATGATATTTATTAATAATTTAATATAATACAAACAAGGTATGTGATTGAGAAATTTTACACACTTATAAATAGTTTTGACTTTTTATTCCAGGCAATATACCAACATCTGTATTAAATTGTTTCACTTACTGGCCTATTGATTGGACTTTATGTCTCTTAATTTACATACAGTCTATAATTTTCAACATCTTTTTGAACAGCAACTATGAGTACAGTTATTTCTGTGTTCTGTGGTTATGAACAAAGATTCTTCATCTGAAAACCTTACTAACTGTTGCAAGAGATAACAATATAAATGTAACTTAAATTTATATAATGTTTAATAGTAGAATCAAAAGCAAAATTAATTTATATAATTGAAGCACTTTAGTTTTAGCACTTCTATCGGCGGCTACGCCAACGTGCGTCAAAGGGGGGAGGGGGGTGGGGACTTATTTTCTTCGTTTTTGCTGGGCATTCTTTCGTACTTTCTCGGCGTGAGTTAAATAAGTATTGATGTGAAAAACGAAAAACTAAGACAAACGTACTTTCAAATTTTTTATATGTATTGCGTATCCAGATATATTAATATCATTGGTTGAGGTAAACTATTACTTACCCACAATGCTTCATGTTTAGCGGTTTGTCCATTCGACAAGCAATTTTAATTCTTAAATCTTGGTCTGGTAAATTTTTCGGTACATTCATGCGATGCCATTCAGGTGCCTGAAAATGTTGTCCACGATTTAACGAATTCCAAGTTTTTTTTTTTTTTTTTAAGAATATTTATCAGGGCATCAATATACCTGAATATTATAATATATCTTCCAACCTTATTTACCTTACTGGAAAGTGGTGTAGGCCTCAATACCACTTTTCCGAGTTCTTTGTCTTCCAGTGCTAAAACACCTGGATTTTCTGTATACAATTTTACTTTCACTGCTGGTAATGGCTGAGTTGTACTAAAATCACCTTGGGTGTCCCACCTGTTTACATAAAAATAGAATGTGAGTTGTTTATACACAATGACATTTTAGTCATCATCCAAATTAAAATCATTGAGAAAAACAAGAAACATATTCTTTTATTATTTTTGGTATCACCCAGTAAAAAAAGGGTGAGATATAGAAGTTGCCTGAAAAGAAGACGAATTCGTGAACATAGACATAGCAAAAACTACTATATTAGTATCTATTTTTATTTCAAAAAATTTAAAAATGATACGTAATTCCTTTAAGTAATTAAAAATTAAAAATCTTTAAGAATACTATAATTTTTAGGTGCTAAAATTAATTGTGAATTTTTTGTTGAAATTTGAAATAAGTATTCCTGCGATATTGGAAATGTTGGTTTCACATTGGAATGATAAGGTTTGGTTGAAATCTGATCCGAAACATATACAATTCACACGATAAGATCGTCCAAAAATATTTTTATAAATAAACAATATACGCCAGAGCATGCCTGTAATCTCACCAGGACTTATGCAATCAGAGGGTAATATTTTTTAAATAATTTAGCTGATATAAATATACTTACATAGGCTTTGATGCCTCTGCTTGGTCAGTCTGCAGTTTATCCCCACCTTCCACTTCCATAGTGCAATAAACTATTCGATTAGGCGCTAAAGATTTAAGACCCTTCACTTCCATCACAACCACCTAGAATATCCATAATACAGAATATTCACACAATAAATTAACTGACAATAAAATATGTTTATAAAAAAGTGTTTCTCTTTTTGCACGTATATATTTTGTTACCGAAACTGCTGCATTACTTTATTTTATTTATATATCTTTTGTAAATGTTCTTATACATTAGACAAAAAGTTTTCACATTCTTTTCAACGAGGTTTTAAATCGTCGTGAGTATATCTATCATTTTTATACAGTTCCACATCCAGTATTCCATTACCTCTATTTGGAACGTCAAGACAACGTCCATTTTCGTAAGTTGAGTGTCGACGTCACCTCCATCTGCTTCGCCCGTTATTTTGTTGGCCAAAGATCCTTGCGATCTGAAACATAGCTGCTTACTCAACCTTGGACTCGGATCGGGCCCGGCATTTGACCTTTTTTTTACCATCAAAAAGGTAATAACCACCACCACATGATTTAGTTTTAACAACCCACAACGATATAAAAAAAGAGTATTAGCAAATTCAAATCACCAAATATTAGTATGAAAATTGCAAATTGAACGACAATATTAATACATTGAATGTACGACAGGTTAAATAATGCGATTGTTAGTGATTACATTTGAAAAGAAATTTTGACAATACATAGACGATTATTTCATAAAATAGGATTTGAAATACATATTGCACACAGCAGAGGAGTTATAATTCATTTTAGGAGTATAATTAAGCCCCAAGCGCGTTTAATAGGCCAGACATTCATATTAAGGGTGTAAATGCATGGTGGCATACATATGGAACCATCACCGATACCAAGAATGAATAAGCACGGCAAAAGGGAAATTTTACAAGTTTTCAGCTAGATACAACTAATTCTACAGGACAAACTTCAAAACTCATATTGATTTTGTATTGGGTCCAAAAAATTGCCTTAAAAACTTTATGATTTATTATTTTATTAAATGAAGCTATTACCCGAGTAAACAATATATTAATTCGAAGTTTAGTCCTTAAACTAAAGTGAATGAATCGATAATAGTGATGAATGTTAAAACAGATTACTTATAATCGTCTTAACAGACTTATTAATATAAGATAACGTGTGATTTTAATATTTTAGCTCTTACATACATACATGTACTTATTATAAAGCTAAGCCCGCTTTTAAGCTCTAAGCAAGTTTGATTTTATCAATAAACTTACTTTCTTTGCTATGACAATGAGGATGGGAGGAGTAAATTTATAAAAAAAAAATGATAATGGAAATAAATTGTATAATAATTAAAAAAAAAAAAAGAGGAAAGCAGTGACATTTTTTTCGAAGCTTTATTTAATAAGCCGCTTAATCTAAATTTTACAAAATATTTAAGTACATTGGCTTTCTACAGTTTTATGCAATTGCTAAACTATACAGCTTAAGTGTAATTTTAGCTGGTACTAGGGTTATGTTTTCTACTTTATAATTAAAAAATTAAGCTGAGACATATTAAGGCAGTGTAAAGTGATAGCTTTTTGTCCTGCGTTGTCACGTTTCTTAGGTTCTTTTTAATTAATGATTATCTTTTGATCAACGGGATTTAGTGTAGCTACTATACTGTTCGCTATTCTATTTTGCTAGTTAAAGCTACTGTAATCATTAACTATGACAACATTAGGATCTTAATATGGTTTAGTCTCAGGCCAGGTGTAGGGTCTTCTACACAAGACTTAAAACACGTGCGCAATTCATCAATTTTGTACTCATTACTTGTACTTCCTTCGGTCCATGTGCCAGGGGCAGAAAATAACAATAGAAATGAATAAGTGTACAATGGCAGTGGATCTGGATGGATGTCTAATTAGTAGTTATTTTTTTTCCATATTGTGGTGACTGTACGACCACTAATGATGTAAGTTTTAAAAAGTCACATGCATCTTTCGAAATGTGATGACATGTAAGTAATATTGAAAATAAAATATATGATGACGATACATCCAGATCGAAATTCAGACACGTATGTATAGATTCTAAAGTGCAGAGAGACGGAAAATCCTAAACAAATGAGAGATAAATAAGAAAAGGTTTTTTTCTATTTTATATCCCTTTTTTTTATATGACAACTAGTTTTTTGTTTAATACAGTTATGACGTATGAACATTAAATGATAAATCTAATAGGTTTTATGGAATTAGTGAATTCGTTGAATACTTTTAATTTTTAGACATTATTTTGTAATATGCTACTGCTTTAGATTGAGTCTACTTTTACAAACGATGGCTTTGTTTTGTTAACATTGTAGATTTAATAACATACCGTAACAAATATACTTAAATTTTATATAATGTAACAAAAATAAAGGAAATTTGTTACGTTAATTATACCAGATAACGTTACTTAGAATAAATAGGTGCATTTCATAGCTATTAAATGGCACATAATTAAATTGTTTCATTGATATAGTTCATCAAAATTGCGGTAATCAAAGAATTGTCAATCTGCATAATCTTATTCCTGGGGTAAACGTTAGAACGAGACAGCATGAGATTTCAATTGTAATTAATCATAAATTTCTTCCTACACAGTTTTATACCCTAATACCTTTAATATATTATAGATGACTTAACATTTAATAAGCAACATTGACCAACAACATTTAAGGCAATAAGTAATGACAAACGTTTCACAATATAGATACTTTATTTTATAAGAATCACAAAAAATTTCATCAACGATTGTACATTCATACGTTGACATCAAAGTACTTTTGAGTTATTTAGTTATGTACTAGCTATATTAGACATTACACTAAAATTATTTAAATATCCAAGTTTATAAATTTAGAGTTCAAACATTTTGAAGACAAGTCTCATATTGCGAAACGTTTGAAAAATATTAGAACATGAATTGAATGTTTTTAAGCATTGTTATGATACTGACCTGTGATTATACCGCTTGATTTTGTGGAGGCCGTATTTGGAATCGGCACCACCTTTAGACACAGGCAGTGATTCCAAATTGGCCATGAGGAGGTTGATCGATGACTTCAACTCTTCAATGTAAAGTGACTCCATTTCTTTCAAGACGAACTTCGGCATTAGCTTGCGGTTCTAGAATTTAAAATATGTTTATGAAAATCTTAATACCTTATAATGGTGTGGATGCAAAAGACCCAGCGCTAGCAGCTAATTCCCCTTTGCCAATAGTAAAAGTATATTAATGTGCAACTTCCCACGATGCCTTCATGACTTAGCAACCTATCTCTGTTGTTTTTATTTTCAGACAACATCATAAGTCCGATCAATTCCAAATGTGTCCTCGTTGAGATGTGACTTAGAACTGCTACATGTGTATTTGTATATCTTATATTACCATACCTTTCATGCTCAGCCAATGTCAACTCTACAAATAATATAAGAAGTGAGTACAAATATTGTTAATGCTAATAGTTTACTATTAGTTACCTTTTCCATTTCGTTGACTTTTTGCATTCTACCATCTAATTCTCTTCTAATAGCGGCAGCTTGTTCATCTGCTGAATCTAGCTGTAATAACAAAAACATATATTGCGAATTAAATTCTATTTACTACAAGATTGAAGATTAGGTATTTTAGATTACTACAGGTGTATACTTACAAGAAGCGCGTTGAATAGAAGCTGATGTTCGAATTTCTTGACACCCAAAATTTGTTGGAACATGTCGTAAAGTTGCTCTTTGCTAAGGATGCATTCTGCGTTGAGGCTCTGTTGTTGGGCTCGAGATGGTCTTTTCGACTCGTCATCACCAGGTATACCTAAATTGAAGACCATGAATATATTGATATAGTAAATAATGATTATATAAAAATTCTTATTAATTGGTGCTATGTTGTGGGTGGACAAGGTATTGCGAGAATTATATGTGTGATAGTGAAAAATTTTAAAGTGTTATTATTTTAAATTTTAAAACTGAATCAGAAACTTAGCTTTATATGTATAATTGTAAAAAATTGTAAACAATTGTGTATAATTATCAAAAAAGACAAATACTAATAATGAGACGGCGATAGATGTTATTAGTGTAGGTATATTAATCAAAAAACACATAA